GCGCCGCACGTGCCACCAGTGCTCGGTGCTGCGGCGCAGCAGCCGGTAGCGCTCGTGGGGCTGGATGGCCACGCGGCGTCCGTCCTTGCCGGTGTACTCGAAGGGGTGCTCCACCAGCACGTACACGTCCCCCGCGACGTCCGCCGCCATCGCTGCCGCGGCGTTTTCCTGCAGGCAACAAGGAGGGGGCCACGAAGGTCAGGGCCGCGGAGCCGGGAAGAGCCCCGCGCCAGGGGACCGCAGGCCTGGGTCGGAATCCCGTCCCGCACTGGCCGCGCGCCTGAGGGCCTGCTTTCCAATCTCCCAAATGCGGACTTGCATAAAATCGTCTCTAAGGCTCCCATTCTTACACTCAGTAATGGAATTAGGACAGTCCCTTCATTGGGGGAGCTGATTGTAAGATTTGAGCCTTGCTTCAGTTCCCTGGTGGGGAGACTGTGGGGAATACACGTCCAACTTTACTACCAGGGAAGCCTTGGCTCTAAGACGAAGAGTGATTGCCGGCGATAAGGTCGACACCACATTTGCCTAAAAGTTCACTGAGCCTCAGCTTTCCCGTCAGTGAAGTGGGAAGAACAGCCCGTTTCCCGCGGCTCCCTGGCCCTGTCCCGCCTTGAGGCCTCCAGCCCGCGAGGGCTCCGGGAGAGGCAGCGCCCCGTCCGTCTATTAGTCTGCGCCCTGGGCCCGCGGGGTCAGGGTTGGGGTGTGGGTTCTGGGGGTGGCCCCGGAGCTGCTCTACCGTGGGGGTGTCCCTGCCTTGTTTAGTCTAAGGGACTTGGTATAGTAGACCCGACTGCCAAGGCAGGGGAACCGGTTCTCTCGGTTTCTCTTTCCTTCCGCTGCGGCTTCCCCGCAGACGTGAACCCAGAGCTCAGCCCGCCCGGACCGTCTCACACCGCCCCCTGCCTTCCAGCTCCCGCGCCGCCTCCCGGGAGAGGCTTGGCCCTCGCGGCCTGCCCACCTGCCCTGCGATCGCTCCACTGCCCCATGAGAGTGGCCCCTAGAGGATGCACTTTGTGACAGTGACTACCCATGCAGGGTGCCCAGGGCCCCCAAAGCTTTCTGGAGTGGTCACCACAAGCCCCTTGGCCCCATGCCTGCTCAGCCTGGCTGTCTGTGTGTCGGGAAGAGGGCAGAGCCTAACTGTAAATCTGCCTGTGTCCCTCCATCAAAGCCATGGGTCGGTGGCCTCCTGCGGAAGTGGCTGGTCCCTCCAAACCCTTACACTGACCACACCTCCTGCCCCACAAAGGTGTCCCGGGACCAGGCGCCGGGAGCGCTGGGGCACCGCAGGAGCAGTGTCCGATGGGGGCCCCTAGCGCTCCTTCTCTACTCTCTCTAGCGTTCCTCCAGGGAGGAAGGGGTGTAAACTGAGTCACTGCGCACACTGGGCCCTGGAGGCGGGGTCAGCGAGCTGCCCAGAGTGAGCCAACAAGCCACAGGGAGGAGGACACTCCCCTCGCGGCCCCTTCCCCTGGCCCTCCGCAGCGCACCCCCGT